CCCGAAGGCGTGCACGAATACGGGAAGAGGTGAGACATTCGTACGAAAGGTTCCAACCGCCTGCTTCGCAGCGCAGAAAAGCCTAAAATGTGTTGAGCTTGAGTACCAACAACTTGAAGAAAGGAAAACCAGAACATTTTTCACGATTTCAGGCTTGCAAATGAAGTTGTACACGTCCCAAAGCCAGCCAACGGAGGACTTTCGCAGCGGTCCAATATGGGTGTCAAAATGAATTGGTTTACCAGCATCCATTTGCGATGACAGGTCATCGACAACCCCCGCATGATACGAGGCCTTCATCGACTGCTTGAATGGCCGATTTATCCCCACATCAAGAGGTTGCGCAACGCCAGTACAGCCTCCGGGAACAAAATCGATAATAATCCGCGGATGCTCCTTTCGCATGTAGCCACGGAACTCGTTTGAGCGATGGACCGACCACACATCGATGATCCATAGGGCCTTTTGAGACGGAGATAGATTGAGGCGCAAAATCTGAGCATCAATGTAGGGCTCGAGGATTTCGCAGACGTAGCATTGCATCGTCTTTTGATTAGACCAGTGATTCTTCTTCTTCTCCGACGGTACGAATGCAAAGCCTGCTTGTGAGCAATCGCTGTACTTTGGGGCATCTCGCGGTGGACACGACTGGTTGGTGAGGCCCTCGTATACCGCTTGAATTGGAAGGACCTCCCCTGAAGCGGAAATACCTAACGCTGCTGTGAAAGCACGTTTTTCGTCTGCGCCAATGAGCTTGACCTGGTGGGACCCCCGAGGAGCATATGTAAGACGGCCACCGGGGTTGTAGACGATGCCTGTTTGGTCGGTGTTGATGATTAACTCGGCGGGAATGTCCTCCGTCTGTATAATATGCGCACGGCGAAGAGCTGCCTGTGCACATACTTCCTCCCAGTCTTTCGGAAGCTTCTGCGCTGCATTGGTGGCGCGTCGCTCTGACCAGCGCATCTCTGTTCTGAGGAAGTGTCGGCAGAAGCTATCAGAAGCACGAAACTTGGAGTTATCGCGATAAGTCTTCTCGAAGATTTCGGGTGCGAGCTTTTGGATGGTAGCGATGATCACCGCACGAACAACAATTGTTGAGACAGCGGCACCCGATTCCCGCAATGCAATCAATTTGCTCTTGACTTCATTGATAACATCCGCTCGCCCGGCCTAGCCCTATTATCAGATGCAATCCGGGATTCGAGATCGATTAAGCATTACCAGTGCTCCACGTCGTCCCCCGAGCGAATGCCCTGGTCGGTCTCCTCTGAGTTCAACCTCATCCAATATCCTCTTTATCCAGACACGCTTGCCGTTCTTGTCTTGTTCAATCCACCCATTCACCGTGGTACGCGAGAGTTTGCTGAATGTCTGTCGGTCACAGCCAATTAATGTCTTCACAATGCCGGATGAGCTGAGGCCGGTGGTGGGGTGATTGTTTACAGTGCCAGCGGAGAGTATCTGTCGAAAGAGGAACGGCGTCTTCCAATTGACATATTTGACTTGCCGTGGGGCATGAATGCGCTTTCGCCCAGATGCTTTGCGGACTTGGGCAAGTGTCTCTTCCTTCACAGATCGTCGAAGTCGTGATTTTCTTGCTGTGTCATTATCCATCCCTGCATCGGCAAGGATAGGTTCGATGAGCTGGTTTAAACTAGTTAGTCCAGATTGAGGTGACTCCGAGAACACGCACTCTGACTTTGCGCTTGGTCCCGTCAGCGTGACGAATCCCAAGCTCTATTTCAGCCTCCTTCTCTCGTTCACGCTGCTTGCGCTTTCGACTGCATGCGGCTACTCGTAAGTTCTCCTTCCTCTCTATCGCCATTTGCTGCACACGAAGTGCCTCGGCAGCTTGTTTTTCTCGATTTCTATCTGCCCATTCGCGGTTTCGCTGACGTTCTCTTTCACGATCCTCCGCCGTTGCCTTGGACATGAACCGGAGAAGCCCCGTTTTCGCGTCGCTGGAACCCAAGGCTGCCAATGCTTTCTTGGTATTAGACTCCAGGCGCGTGTCCTTGGGGTCGGTAGTGTTGCCGGATGGTCGTTTTTTGGAGGGACTCGGTGGTGGCGAACCCAGAGCACGGTCCTGCATTGAGCGTTTGACCTTGCCTTTTGTTGGCGATAGTTTCGCGAAGATATCTGCCAGATGCTGAATTGGCGGCGGCGTCACTGGACGCTCGTGTTTTGCTGTGGTGGTGGGTGAGCTTGAACGGGAGGAAGGTGGCGAAGGGGTTGGCGTTGGTGAATGAATCACCCTCCACGGCAATGGACGGTAGAGGCGGTGGGAACCAGATGACTCAGACGGTACAGCGACTACCTCAGTCTCACTCATTGGCTCGTCGTTGAAGTCGTCGAGTGGGAAGCGAACTGCGACCGGGACCGCAACTGCATAGCGGTGTGGTGTATCCGGATCCGAGTCCAAGGAAAGCCCTTCCGCCAGCGAAACCCTTGCTGGGAGGACGACAAGGTCGTCTTGTGCAAGATCATGACGAAATGTAAAGTCGAAGATAGTTGGGGTCATCGTCTTTTGGCAGAATCAATATGGCAACCAGCGGCGAATGAGATGGGACATACCGGGACCTTTAACTTCTGGGCATGCCGCGCGAGTATCTCGTTGAACAGCCGCAGCCGTTCGTCGACTGCCGACTGCATCCCCACATCCAGCAGTGAAATTGCGGGGTGGAGATAGTGATTCAACGAGTTGTGGGCCAGAATCCCGCAGGAGAACGAGTCCTTTTGACGCGTTATATCGAGCTTGAGCCAGCGGAAGTCTTCCACGTCATGCTGTGTGATCCACCAGCTGTACGCGCACTTGACGGACTCGTTGATAGGGCCATCCAAGGCGTCTCCGTAGTACACAGTCTTGCTTTCGAAGTCGATAACGAGCGCTACCCAGTGGTTTTCGTCCACATTGACAATGGTGAGCAGCTTTGTATCGACACCCAAGCCAAACTGGTTGCCCTGTTCCCGAAGATCTCGGTAGCAGGGCTCCGTATCATAACCCTCCCCACCATCCTCATACAGTTCAATAAGGCTCTGCGCGTGCCCGCTAGGAACGATGTGAACGCCAGCTGCCTCCCAACTCCCATCCAAATCAAGCAACTCGAGAGCTAGGTTGATGTGTGTTGTTTGAAGCCAGTCCCGCGTGCAGAATGGGCCCAGATCGATGAGCATTGCCTTCTCGCGAAAGCCCGCTAGCGAGCCATCCCACGGAAGCTTCCTCGTCTCCTCCAGCACTGCCATACGAGTCTCGTCCACATGGGATAGCTTCTCGATCGAAGTTACAGCCGACTGCCACTGCTGACGAGCTTCCCGGACATGCGACAGCTCCGCCCAGTATGAGAGAAGATGCAAGGGGTAGGCATGTTGGTTCCCTGGAATGTGAGGGCAAAGCACCGAGTTGTATTCATCGTCCTCGTCTGCTTGATCAAGCGCCAATAGCAGTGTACGGAGGACTGCAGCTGGTGGCGTCGTGAGCTTGGTGATATCTGCGTCACGAGATGTCGGGAGCCTAGACGAGAGATACTGGTCCGCTGAAGTGAAGTAGGTGGAAGCACGCTGGGCTGGTAGTCGGAAATCAAGGAAGCTCTTGACGGCTGTCCGCTTGTCTGGGAGGATTCTGGCCGCCAGAGAAGCCGGAAGCCGTAATTGTTGCAGTCGCTCCGGCGTGAGAGGCATCCGGCCCGTAGTATGGCTGTCGCTGGACAGCGGTCTGGATGAAGTGACGAAAATTTTCGTCAGTCACACCCTTGATCCGCGGATGACGAAATCCCAGGTTCGTCATCGATGTCACGCCTCCGAAGGGGTGACGAATCGATTAAAATAGTACAGTACTTACTTTCACAAGGACACAGATTTCAGTTAAAGAATTGTAGACAATACTTAATTAGTGTTATAGCCTATAATAGGTAATTCTCAATTGTCACATTTAACTTCAATAGCTACCGGTATCTATTTTTACACACAAAAAGATGATGAAGACACTAAATAATATGCATGGCAAGTATTGAGCTGCAAGCCACCAAGGCTGCCCAAGGAATGGCTCATGCTACTCAGCGAACAGATTCCAACCCGGGACAGTGTGTTCTGTACACTCTCGGAGACTGCCGTGTCCACCCCGCTCTTGCTGAACCCCGTGCCACAGCGGATTTTGGGTGCATTCGGGACGAATAGCGCAACTTTAATGACATCTAAGCGGGTGAAACGGCGCCGGGGTCCAGTCAGTGGTGCGGTGATCGAGGATGAGGTCGAGCCGGACGTGCGATGCCGCTCAGCCTGAGTGTGTGCGGCCCAAAAGTGTCTTGCGAAGAGAGATTCGGGGTCCCGGTTTTGTCGGGGGCTTCGCATATGAAGTTGTGTGGACGGGCAAAGCCACACACCACAATGAGCCTCCGAACTTCCCCTCTTCGCGGAAGACGCTGAACACATTGGACCATGCTTGCGCCGCTCACTTCCGCCTTGTCGTGCCCCGTTTTCTCCTAGAACTGCGCGTTTTTGGCACCGTCTGGCGTGTCGAAGGCCGCGACTATCCGCGAATTCGAAGTGATGAGCTGGCGATCGTCTCGATACCGTAAACCTCGCGCCGACAAGATTCTCCCGATCGGCCTTCACACCGTCAAGTGTGACGCGGGCAGACCGTTGGCACCCCTACGAAGGACGTCCATGGACATATCCATGGACGTCTCCATGTCCAAGAGCTTGGACAAGGACCGTTTCTGTTGGACAAGCAGTTGCGACGGTCACAGAATGTGACGCACACACGAAGCTTGTCACAAACGTCCATGTCGTGTCCATAACTCGCTCTTACATGTCCATGAGCAACTGAACTGCAACTGGTGCCGCGGCGTATGCTTGATTGTGTGCTAGGGCCTGAGGCACTGCCCCGGATGTAATTGTCGGCCTTCGGCACAGCTCTGGCCGACACTGGTCATAGCACATCTAGTATTAGTAGATAATGAATCCATTGCGGCACTCGCCAATAGCTCTCAGTACTCCCGATGGCTGAGCAACTTACGCGCAAGCAAGCAACTCAACTTCTCGAGCTTATATCTCTGGTAAAGCCCCAGCTTCAATGGCTTCAGAAGGAATATGAGTCAAGACCTCCGCTCGAGCTTCCGCAACAGTTCCTGGAGTTCTTTAAAGCTAGCCTCTCGCTTTCTCATGATGCATGTACAAGTGCTTGGCTGTCTCTCCGCGATGAAGCATGGGCACAAGATGAGGATGCTACAGAGATTCATGCCTTGCGTGCCAAATATCTTCCTGTTTTTTTACGGCACGGAATTCCGTTAGGCATTGGTAAGCTTGGACTCGGACATGAGCAAAATGCCCAGCTGACTGACACACACAATACAGGACTCTATTCATTTGAACCACCTCATCGTGCTTGCAAGAATGAAGCATGCTCCAAGGCTTTCGTGTCAGATCCAAGCCTGTCACGCGAGCGCGATTTAGATGGTGCCATTCGTATTCAAGTTACGGTCTTCACAAAGGAATTCGGAGCAATTCCTGATTATTCAACATCGCGCAAGTGTCCCAGTATGTATATTTGCCCCCTCTATGACTTGCATACGGTCTAAATGACGACTGCCAGAGTGCTCGACTCGGTACTATCCGAACTACTTTGTCGACTCTCGATCCTCAAAGCGGGCATACTATCCTGCAACTGCCATCGTATTCATGCAGATTTCCACTCATTACTATATGAGTCGGGAGGTTGCCGAGCTTTTTGCAAGTATGCAAGTGAACGCATGGTATATTTTCAGATGATGTTTGGTGACAGCGTACTGAATTCTTTCATCGCTTAGGACATCGGGGACAAACTGTGCAAAAATCTACAATGAGAGTATGAAGCCGGAGCATCTTACGCCTTTACTACCTGCTGAATGGGGCTATGCATTTGACCTTGATGTCGAAAAGGTCTGGAGCGCCTTTTTTCTACATGCTCTACTTCTGGATGCGGAGAATAGCTCCCTCGAGGTTGAACACAATACTGTCAACAAGTTCCGACTGACCTCCGCCCTCCTTGCACGCAACCAACGCATGGCTGGAACTGGCCAAGCCGAATGGAACCATGCTTGTGAGGCATGCACATGGTATACCAACGATGAGAAGGGTAATCCAGGTCAGTGCATTGTTAAAGGCTCATATTTTCATCAACCGAAAGGGTTTCTAGCCGTTATCCGGTCATGCGTTACCGATGGTATCACTATCGGGCGACCCTGCTGTCGTGTACACGACTGTCTGCAGCCTCTTCCAACTGTCAAGCATAGGTTCTGCGAGACTCACCAAGTGCAGGATCGCCTTTGTGTGGTAAAGGATTGTCAAGACGAGGCTGAAGCCAACTATCGCACTTGTTCACGCGCAGAGCATCGTGTGCCCTTGAGCAATACCACAAACTCCAAGGGAAAGCCATGTTCCAACTGAAACGGCGGCTCGAGCGGCTCAAGATCTCCCAGCCTCACAGTTCCATGCCCGGAGACAACCCAACCAGTACATCTGATGGTCTAGAAGGTACAGGAGCAGACGAGGATGAGGATGTCGTGATTGATGAGAATGGGGTTTGTCCTGACAAGCCAGAAACGGGAAATCAGAGTGTTCGTGCGCGGTTTGGAAGACGGCGAACTCATAACGAGGAGTTATGTGTTGCTTCCTGTGGTGTCATTCTTGGCCGGGCAACCTTCTATGGGTCTGAGGCACCAAACGGTGTTCGCGTATGACATTTGCTGTTTGGTCTACTCGTATCTGATGGTCAATAGGCATTCTGGAAGCGACTTTTCCCTACAAAACGCTCATTACCTCAAGTTCTCTGGCATGACAACAACTGCCGCATCGTTGCCATGCTAAAAAAAGACGGGGACTCGTACTTCAGCCACTGTGCTTTGCCAGTGGACGTGTTCCATTTCAAGTGCAAGCACAAGGAGGGAGACGTCGACTGTGGCCAATACTGCAATCCATATATCTATTCGGAACTTCGCACCCAAAATGGCCAGTGGCGATTCAATTCATCGGCTGCTGAACAAACCAACGCATGGTTTGGAGGGTTTCAGGCCATTGTTCAAGAGATGAGTGCTGAGCGGTATGATTTCTTTTTAGACGAAATGATTCGACGGCGAAACATCTCACTGGTAACTCTATCTCGCCAGCGCAACCAAAACCCTCACAATATCCCCCGTGAAGCCTTGTTAGACACACAGTTGTAGACTTGATAGCTATATTACAACAGAAATTATACAATAGTTGTCTACGAATCGTTGTATGGTCATCTACAAATCATCGTCGGAGTCTTCAAGTGTTAGATCAATCACCTCTCGATTATCAGCAACTGGTACCATAATGTCGACCATCTCTCTCTTCATACGATATTCCGCAAGCCAGTCCTCAAGAGCAAGTAAGGATGATGACGCAGACCAGAGGCGATATTCTGGCATCTTGTAGCGCTCGATGATATACTGATCCACAGTATCAAGGGCCGGGTGGTTGTCTGAGCGATGAAGAATGAGACCGTACTCATAACTTGACTCCATAACTGCTTTCGCCACATGCTCGGTGACTTTGAGATCCTCCTGCACCAACAGCATGACCATTTCCGGGAGGAGAACTTCCTCGATGAGAAGTTGATACGGAAGCTTGGTTTTAGACTGTAGGCAGTTTGGGTTGTCGGGAAAGAGGAAGCGGAGAAGCTTGAAGACAATCTCCCAGCCGATCTCGCCATAGCTAGGGATGTAGATCAGTGACGAAATAGACCATAGATCACAGAAACATACTACGCTGCACTGATCTGAGCATTATGCCCACTGCGTTGAAGTTGAGATGAAAGAGAAAGATATTGCATTGTTGAACCTGTACGCGCATCGAACCGTGCCTTGGCAGCAATGTAGAAGAAACTATAATCGGGAGCCTTGAGAATGGCCTGCAATGTCTCGCGTTTGGCAATAATTCGTTCAAGTAACATGTTAAAGTCCGGGTTGAGGGGCCATCCTCCCGCAGCAGCCACAGGGAAAATGTCCCACTCGATGCGATGGCGTCGACAGTACTCGTAGCTCTTGCCAAAGCCAATAGTACGATGAAGAGAGTTTTCGGGGGTGGGTGACGGACTTGATATTGCCTCAAGCTTGGTGGAATAGCACATCAGCTCTGGTGAAGGGGATACAGGAAAGGGTTCATCGCAGTAGCAGCAAAGAGGACCATCTAGCGGCAAGACGTCAGTCGGTTCCATCTTGACCTCTGAGGCCTCAAACAGTGGCGACAGCAAAGGGAATTCTCCCCGAGGAGGAGATGGCATATCAGGAAATGGCCGCAGATGGAATAAGCCCGGCGTCGAATCGATATATGGAGTTGCTGCTTCAATGGCGCGTTGGCAAGCCCATTCGTCAGAATGGAAGAGCTCGCCAAACTCTCGACTGTTATGAAGAACAGCCAGAGCGTCGATATTCTCACCACAATCCTCGCGGATGAGAAGGAGTAGCGCTTCAGAAACTAAGACTTGGTCGATTAGTTGCTGTATATCGAGTGGTTCATGAGAGTTGGGCAAAACGTCGAAGTTGGCAGCAATACCACGAACAGCATCACGGCATGCGATATAGCCCAGCTGGCCAAAACTGTATAATAGTCAGAACAAATACGAAAGGAGGTAAAGTAACATACTATCCATGACGTGGAATGAAAGGTATCCCTGATTGAATTCGCTCGACTGCCTCCTCGAAGTACTCGCTACCTTCCGCATTCGTTGCAATATCATTGAGAGTATCGATATACTTGTTGAGCCGAACACGAATATTGGCATAATCGATGGTCTGTGGCCATCCGGAGGCAGGCGCAGCCATGAATATGATGTCTTCGGCGCGATGTTGCTGACAATAGGCAGCCCTCAATGCCTCAGATGGGTCGGTTTCAAGCGCTCGTTGCATCTGATGCAGTTTCTCAGAGGGCTTGAAAAGATACACCGTTTCGCAGACCGGGCACTTGCCGAAAATGTCGGATAAAAGTAGAGCATCCCAATCAACATTGTCAGGCTGCCCAGTTTCTTCTGACGGCTCCGAAAGAAGTGATATTGGAGGGAGTTGTAGAGGAGGTAATATCGGAGGGGGAAGTGACGTTGCAATGGTATTCGTAGGCAATGTCATCTGATTGCTGGTCGAAGAAGGTTGTTGCTGTCGGTCGTTCAGCTGTTTGACTGTTTTACCCTTCACATTAGCCTCGGTGAAAAGACGGTCCAATGAGGCAGCGGGAACGTCTCCCAGGGCCATGTACTGTGCCTTGAGCTCATCGTCAATAGCATTCCACCCGCGTTTGTAGTTGTGAACCGTTTGTCGTTTATACGGGCGATGGAAGACCTTTGCGAAAGCTTTTGCCTCAGTTGAACAGTCGGGATCAGTGTCCTGACAGGTTTTCACCCTCGCCCACTTCGTACTCCACTCAACAACAGAGTAGGCCCCGTAGCTTCGCTTTGCTTCTATATCATGATCAACCACGGCCGATTCAAGCCAAACCGGAGGTGTAATTGGAGCAACGGTGGGTTGTCGTTTTGGCTTGGCCACCAGAGCTGATGGAGACGAGGGGAGAGACGGAAGATGGGTGATATGGGCTGCATCGATGCCAGGAATGTCAAGCTTGGCAGCTTTGGGCAGAGGCGCGTCGTCGAGAGAAAATGGGAGGGTTCGCTTGACAGATAACCCTACGGGCTGGAGCAACAGGTCGAGATCCGGACAGTCTTCATCGGCCCACACATCGCGCAAGTTCTCGGGGAAACGGATTATCATACGCCGACCACGATCAACCGTTAAGGCCGTCGATGGGGAAGCGAAAACCCATCCTGATGACGAGTATTCCCAGTATTGAAAGTGACTGTTTTCAGTAAGATTCAAGTCGTTCATAATACCAGCAAGCATGGAAAGGCAGAATTGTGGGTAGCTGGGAATGGATTCCTTCATATCGATATGCTTGACCTTCTTCTAATACAAAACGAATCAATACCCAACGATAGACGGAAAGAAATCAGACACACCGTGAAATATAACGAAAATAGCACCCGTTTCTTCTCCGCCTCCTCCAGCTCAACCCGAATAGTTTTGGCATTTCGATTGGTCGCATGAGCAATGTTCTCGGGCGTTTGAGGGCCTTGCCAGAGAGGACCGATGGGCATGGCAAGTGAATTCGTTCGATTGACCGGCTCAACTCGAGCAGGCACAACTGCGGTTGCTCTCCCAGCAGATTTTCGTCCCACGGGTTGGTCGGGAGGAGAGTGCCGCAGCGGAAGAAAGCGGCTGGGGCTGGTCTCGAACAGCAGAAACGCTATGAGCACTGCATGGGTCTCGAACGCTGCAATCGACAACCGCGGCTGAACAGCACTTTTTGCAAAGATATTCGATACACAGCTTAGCACCTTGGGACGTGCAAGTTGGGTTTGCACACACAATCTTCCCTCCCACAACATTCGGCATTTCGATGATTGGTGCAAGGCGAAGCGGGACATTATCCGCAGGGGAAATGGGGTGGTTGCCTTTGCGGGCCTGGAAGCGACACAGGAAGGCCTCCGCATCTTGCATGATATAGCGACCAGTGAGGGGGATAGTCGAATGACATGACTTATTCGTACACTATGTCGAATAAGAACACAAATAAGAGCCCAAGAAGAACACTTGCCGTTTGCACAATAGAGCCTCGATGCTCTGGGTGTTGTGATCCCAAATGAACGCGAGGCTCACCCATGAGCGCTTTACATTTCTCAACTCCACATCGACTCTGGACATTGAGCTCGGGGTCGGCGACAGACTGGAGTGGGGGCATTGGTTGGCGAAGGAGCTTCGAGAATTTGGTGGCACAGAGAGGTGGTGGTGGTTGAGGGGGAAGGAGAATTATGCTGGTCCATGCGATTGAGCAAGGGAAACAGCGAGCAAAGCGCTGCTTGAAGGTCCAAAGCGCTCGCTGCAGAGGCCCTGTGGCTGAGCATAATTCGTCGCTCATGCCGGCTAGTGACGAGAGAAGTGGTGGGAAACTTCAGGGGGAGGTGGTTGTTGACTTGGGAGAAAGTGTGGGGACAGAGGGTACATGGAGGAGGACGGAGGTAACAGTGTCGACAAGGTTGGCGGTAAAGCGACGACAGCTGACCACGTGTATGATTGATCGAATTACATCATCAACTACGTCCACGGCCGATGTCCATTGCTGGTCCACCAGCTTGTCCATAAAGATGTCCACGATGTGTCCAAGCTCTTGTCCATGTCACACCCATTTTATGGACATGGACTCCGTCCATCAATATGGTCCAAATGGACGTGTCCATGGGACGTGGACTCCAGTAACCACGACGCTCTCGACGCGGGGCAGGCCACAGCCTTGCCGTTGCCATGAAACGACTCCCCTTCGAGTTGTCCATCTCGTCCGTCATCCACCGCGCCCAAAGTCCTGCTCCGTGTCGCGACTCGCTGGGGTTGTGCACTGTCAGCTCGTTCTTGTAGCTCGTCCGCGTTTCAGTAGTGTTGACGATTAGCAGAGACCGGCGAGCGGTGACCCGGACGTCGTATACGGCTCACCGGACCCAACCGTGTCGGCTGCGTGGGTGCTTGGCGAGTATCACGGGGAAGGCGACATCGGGAGCTGTGTCTAGCGCCAAAAGGGAGAGGGATTCAAGCTCCTTTTTATGCCTCGGCAAAAGGGGGTGGTGGTTCACTGACAACGATGATTCAGTCATCCGCCGCGGCCCGCCCGGCGATCGAGTTTGAGAGACGAGATAAAAACACATTCTCCGAGCAGGGACCCGCGCGCTTCCCGCTTCGAACGACGAACAGCGGCCCATCACCAACGCCGAGCTCGGGTTCTTACGCATGTGGCTCATGCGTCCCGGCGCCGCGGCGGTACTGCGGGCGACCGAATCTCACCTCCCTCTTCAGTTGCCAAAGTGATCACTAGAAAGCTCTCCTCAGGCTCCCTCACTTCCCCTCGCGCTCCCCCGCATTGCAAGCACCGTATCCCTCAGAGTCGACCCTGCAGCTGTCTTCCAAGTTCCGACCATTCTGATTCCCCGACCATTCGCCGCCGCTCAAAACCTAAACTTTGTGTGTATGCCAGGGACATATCATACTGATCCAGCTTGGCAAGAACCGGCAAGTCCAAAAAACAAAGCCTTCTTGAATCTTTTATAGTATCTATAGCAACAGCACTGTGTCGAACGATCGCATAATCGCATTGGTGTGCTCACTGG